TGATTTGTTTCTCCATCTCATTAAAAAGTGCTGGTGGAATATGGATCAGGATTGCATTGTATCTGTAGATTGCTTTGGGTAGAATTGACATTTTCATTATGTTGAGTCTACCTATCCATGAGCAAGGTATATTTTTCCACTTACGCAGGTCTCTTTTAGTTTCTTGCAGTACTGTCTTGTAGTATTCTCTGTATAGATCTTTTACGTCTCTGGTTAGATTTATTCCTAAGTATTTTATCTCATTGGGGGTTATTGTAAATGGTATTGATTTGGTGACTTCCTCTTTAAGTGTAACCCAGTAGTTTTTGAGGAAGGTGTTTTTCAGTTTCCATGTGTTTGGTTTTTTTCCCTTGCTTTTTGTGTTACTGATTTCTACTTTTATGGGTTTATGGTCAGAAAAGGTGCTTTGCAATATTTCAGCGCTTTGGATTTTGTTAAGGCTTGCTTTATGTCTTAATATGTGGTCTGTTCTGGAGAATGTTCCACGTGCGTTGGAATAGAAAGTATACTTGGCTGTCGTTGGGTGGAGTGATCAGTATATGTCCATGCGATCAAGTTGTTTGATTGTAGCATTTAGATCTTCTGTGTCTTTATTGAGCTTCTTTCTGGATGTTCTGTCCTTCACTGAAAGTGGTGTGTTGAAGTCTCCTACTCTTATTGTGGTTAGCTGTCTATCTCTCTTTTCAGTGCCCTTAGAGTTTGTTTTATGTATTTTGGAGCCCGGTTATTGGGTGCATAAATATTTATTATGGTTATGTCCTCCTGGTGTATTGACCCTTTAATCATTATATAGTGTCCTTCCTTATCCTTTGTGATGGATTTTCCTTTAAAGTCTGTTTTGTCAGAGAGTAATACTGCCACTCCTGCTCTGTTTTGAGTGTTGTTTGCTTTGTTATATTTTTTTCCATCCTTTGAATTTTAGATTGTTTGTGTCTTTTAGTCTAAGGTGTGTCTCTAGTAGGCATCCTATAGACGGATTGTGTTTTTTTAATCCATTCTGCCACTCCCTGTCTCTCTATTGGTGCATTTATTCCATTTATGTTCAGTGTAATTTTTGATAGGTATGAATTTAGAGCTGTCATTTTGATGTGTTTTTTGTGTGTTCCTGACAGTTTCCTTGTTCTGTTTAATTTTCTTTGCTGAATCATTTTTGTTTATGTATTTTCTTTTCATCTTTTTCATTGTTGTTGATTTTGTATTTGTTGAGTCTTTATATTTTCTTGTTTTTTATTTTGATGTGTAGGTTTGTTTCCTTTATGGTTACCTTAACATTTACCCGTTTTCCTAAGTTTAAACTAGTCTTTTATTTCGTTGTATTGCCTTGACTTCTCCATATGAAAAATCTATGTCTACATTTTTTATTCCCTCTTTTTTGTTTCAATGTTGACATCTTTTACATATTGACATCTCTGTTTACCTATTTTCAGTGTTTTAGCTTTGATTTGTTTTTGTCATTTCCCTGTTGGGTTGATATCTGGTTGCCCTGTCCTGTGTTCTAGTCTTGGATTGTTATCTGATGTTATTGATTTTCTAACCAGAAGACTCCGTTTAGTATTTCTTGTAATTTTGGTTTGGTTTTTGCAAATTCCCTAAACTTGTGTTTATCTGGAAATGCCCTAATTTCTCCATCATATTTGAGAGACAGTTTTGCTGGATATATAATTCTTGGTTGGCAATTTTTTTCCTTAAAGGTTTTATATGTGTCATCCCATTGCCTTCTTGCCTGCATAGTTTCTGCTGAGTAGCCCAAACTTATTCTTGTTGACTCTCCTTTGTAGATGACTTTTCGTTTATCGCTAGCCGCTGTTAAAAGTCTCTGTTTATCTTTGGTTTTGGCAAGTTAGATTATAATATGTCTTGGTGACTTTCTTTTGGGATCTGCCTTGTTTGGGGTTTGATGAGCATCTTGGATAGATATCTTCTCATCTTTTACCATATTGAGGAAGTTTTCTGCCAACAAATCTTCAAGGACTCTCTCTGTATTTTCTGTTATGCCCCCTCTTCTTGTACTCCAGTCACTCGTAGTTTATTCCTCTTGATAGAATCCACATAATTCTTAGGGTTCCTTCATTTTTTTAAATGCTTTTATCTGATTTTCCTCAAGTAATTTGGTGTCAGGTGCTTTATCTTCAGTCTCAGTAATTCTGACTTCCATTGCCTGAATTTTGCTCCTATGACTTTCTGTTGAGTTGTACATTTCTGAAATTTTATTTTTAATCTTCTGAAATTCTGATTTCTGTCTCTGTATGGATTCTTGCAGCCTATTAAATTTGTCATTATACTCGTCTCTAATCTTAAGTTCCTCTATTGCTTTGTCTCTGTGTTCCTTCGCTTGTTCTGTGTTTTGCCTCATCTTCCGCAAAGTTTTGTATGTTAATCTTTTTGTTCTGCCTCCGATGTTTCCAAGCAATTCTCTTTCTCCAGAAAATTTCTTGAATGTTTGTTTTGGAAGCTTGCCGAATCCATCATGGTCTACCTCTTTATGTGATTTGATACTGACTGTTGTCTCCGAGCCATCAATAAGTTATTATATTTATTTTATGTTAGCTTACTGTGTCCTTGCTTCGTGTTATATTTTGTTTTGATATGCCCAGATAGGATGCTCGTGTCAGCTACTTTTATTATTCGTGCCTGTGATGCTCTAACGTCCTTTCACCAGGTGGTTAGATCTGTTACTAAGTATGTGAGCCAAGATGTCCGTTTACTTATATGGATTCAGTTCGGGTGTCCAGGTAGTTGGTCACCAAGTGTGTAGTGCAGGCTCTCACCTACCGTCCTAGACCGGTGTGGGTGATTGGTGTAGGCACAGGTATTTGGCTGCAGGTGTTGTACTGAGCAAGGCAGGGCGCTGATGTCTGCCCCTGAGTGTTCGGGAGGAAAGCGTGTCCCTGTTCCCTAGACCGCATAGGTGGGTGGTTTTTGCAGCCAGACTAGGCGCACCCAGTGCTGTTGGCTGTAAGGACTAGGGGGGCACTACTTATTCTTGGACCCCTGTTGTGGGTGACTAGGTGGCATTGGTGGAGCCACCGTTGCTCAGGCCCCTGATGTGGGCAGGTAAGGAATGTGCTTCAGGGGCAGAGCAGTGTCAAATGTCACAAACCTGCCACTTCACAACTGAAAGAGTTGAATTTGGACTTCAGGTATATACCCTGTTGTACTGTGGTAATGAGAGCCTACGCTGTTGAAATGGGCCCACACATGTCTATGCAGGGATGAAAGGCATTTAAAATCCATGGACCCCTTATTCCTGTACCTAGACAAAGGAGTTGTCCCTACCCTGAATTCCTGGCTTAGGGGAGCCGGCAGATTATTTTTCCCGTATTTGTTAGTTTGTTCTCTCTCCAAGGCTGGGAGAATGGCTCAGCGCAGGTGACGGGTCCTACTTCCGGCCTAGGGGACGTGGCCATTACTGAAGAAGCCAGCCTGAGACCTGGTGCGAGCAGGGAGCGGGGAGGTAAATGGGAGAGAGGTTTTTCCCAAAGGGGGTGTTATTTGATCCGTGTGGTAGATCAGACACAAGTACTTAATCTTTTGCCGATTGAGTGCTGCTTTTCAGTGGTTCAGGATGCCTGAGTAGACTCTCTGCTGCTGGGCCTCTCCCAATGTGGAAAATGCCTCCCGAGTGCCACTGCTTGCCTCACCACGCACCTGAACTGATCCGGCCTGACTGGTGCTGGCTTCCGCTGGGTTAGTTCTGGCAACTCCTTGCTGCTCTGAACCGTCTCTCCCTGCCCCTCCCACTCAGTCCAATTCCTCAACTTTGCCTTCGATGTTCAGGGCGCCTAGATTGTCATATATAATCAATTCACTTGTTTTTTCGGGTCTTTGTTGTGAGAGGGACCACAGCAATTTTCTGGCTACTCTGCCTTCTCAGCCCCACCTGTCCTTTCACTTTTAAAGAAGTGGTAAATTAGACTTTAAAATCCATTCTGAGAAAAGATACTTATGTATTCATATGTATGTATGTCTGCAAGTATGTATATGCCTGTGTACATGCATTTGCATATACCTGCATACATGTGTTTGTATACATATATACACATAAATACATTACATGTATAAGATGTATGTATTTGTGTATACATAAACACACATATATTAATTAGGGTAAATTCTTGTCAAGAATTGGCCTATGTCTTGTCATTCACTACTCTGTAGTGAGTAAGTGTTTGTTAGGTGACCAGATAAGTTGTATAATCTGACCAAAAGGATGCTGTCATAATATTTTAGGAAGGTGTCTAAATTTTACAGCTTGAAAACTTCCAGGTAAAATCTCCTATAGCCTATACAACGATGTTCGTATAATACGTAAATGTGCTTGTGCATCTATACATATTTTAATGCTTATTTATTATTCATACTTTTTCCACACCATAATTTTGAAGTTTGTTATTTTTCTTTATTTAAAGGATTCTCTCTTAGCAGAAGAAGCATTTCTCTTGGTGAATTCATCCCTTCAAAATCTGAATCATTTGATATATGATGAATTTATAAAATCTGTTTTGAAGATTGTTGAGAAATTGGATCTTACACTAGAAAAACAGAATGCTGGGGAGCAAGAGGTTAGAAGTTTTTACGAGTAATAATATTACATCATTTTTATACCAACTCTCTTTTGATATAAATATTCAGAGGTAAAATAGAACATTTTTAGGGTATCAGGGACAATTGGTTTCTTCAAGATTAATATGTGTCATTGATACTTTTCTATTGAACATAGCATAATTATAGAAAATATCATTGTTAAACTGTTAAAAAAGTAAGTTATGTGTTAAATATGTTAAAATAATTTTTTTGAAAACTTGTTTACTTGTTTCTCCTTCCTTAGCAATAGTAAAGAGACAGGTCTTAACTTTGTGTAGCAGTGTCGTTGCAGTAGAATAGGGAGTCCTGGGGCTCCTCTTGTTCATAGCTGTGGAAGCTCCAAGCTCTGGGGTGCCATGTTAGGTGTTAAGTATAACAGATGGTAGGCAGAGAAAGAAGAATGTGCCAGGCCTTTTCCTGTGCCCAGTTTTCCTGGCCTGGGTATAAGGGAAGTAGTGGCTTAAGGCTGCAGCTAGGTGCTGCTCTGCTCTTGTCTGAGCAGTTTTAGTAACAAAGCACTGCCGTCCTGAGGGATGTTAAAGGGATTGAGTTCCAGTGAGAAACAGCTCATTTGCTCTGCAGCCTAGTGATATTTTCAGACTAGATGATAGTATTAGAGTTAGGTGATATGTACTTCTGCTGCAGTGCCATGAACTTGGACAAGAGATGATCAGAGGCTATGCAGAGGACACAAAGGAAAGAATTAAAAGGTATTTGCTATGGTAGTGTCATTGCATTTGATATGTTCTATTTTTTATGCTGGTGATGTGAACATCAATGTATGTTTTATTACTTTTTATACGTCTAAAATATTTCATGAAAAAAACTCAAAAATTTTGCCAAAAGGAATTTATGAGAGCTGTGTCAACAACAAACCTGATTTTTAGAGCACGTCTGTGCCATTTTTGTTGCCTTCATTGGCTTCTCTTTCTCTTCTGTTTCTTGTCCTTCTTGCTTCATTCCAACAAGTCAGCTATGACCTCTTAGTACTGTTTTTCTGTGCAAATAACCCATGCCCTCTACATTTGTTTGTCAACTGTGCCCTGCCTCTGGTATTTTCATAAGCATAGCTGTGCCAATTTAATTTTTTTGCGTGTTTTTGTAAAACAGCATAACGTGCTTATGAAAATACTTTGGGGGGTAGGGGGAGAGTGTGGTTAGCAAACAAACGTAGAAGGCATGTGTTACTTGTGTAAAAATCCGACACTTACTAAGAAAATCTGTCTCCACTTTTATGATCATCTACAGGCCCCCCAGTTCCATATTTCTACCTACATGTTTAACATTTCCACTGATAACATAAACAGTGTTTAAAACTGAACTTGATGTACTTTGCAAAAAATTATAATTTTCATTTGTCTTTCCTATTGATGTCTGTTTCTCCTGTATTTCTCTATTTTGCAGTTTGAAATCTCCAAGTTATTGCTGATACTTTCTGTTTTTTGTAATTCTGCTTCTGTGAAGGCAAATTGCTAGTTCCTTTAAGAAATGATCACCTTCTCCTTAGCCCCTCGAATTTCTGTATTTGTACTGTTCTTTTATCTCTTCACTGTATCACTTCCTATATGTCCTTTAATTTAACGTTTCCCGCCAGTTCCATATCCTCATCAGACGAAGCTCCTGAGACTCCCTGTCTCTATCTCTCTTCTCTATTCCTTCCGCGCATCATATTGGGCTTGCCCATTGAGTCAGTTGGTGACTGTTGATCAAAATCATGATTGAATGGTACAATTAATTTTTTAAGGATGAGAATGAAGCTACTGGTGCGTGGGTGATCCCAACCTCGGATCCAGCTGCTAACTTGCGTCCTGCTAAACCCCAAGATTTTTCAGCTTTCATTAACCTGGTGGAATTTTGCAGGTATTTTTAAAATTCTAATTAATTAAGAAGGAAAATTATCAGTTATTGGCTCTAATATAGTAAAAATGTTTATATAGATGGAAGAAATGAAGTTGGTAAAGACTTGAAATCTGGAATCATTTATATGGACCTTTAAAATGTATCTAAAAGTACCAGCTTAGAGTTACCATTTTTTAAAAAAATGTGTTTAAAAGTAGATCAGTTAGGAAAAAAAGGCATATAGATACGTCTGAAAACGTTACGTGATGGAGTTGTAGGCTTGCTTCCACTATGTCTCTTATAATTTTCAAAGCTGAATAAAAATATTAGAATCAGATTTTCCACATTAAGCATTTGATTTGTTTTTACAGAGAGATACTTCCTGAGAAACACATGGAATTTTTTGAGCCGTGGGTGTACTCATTTGCATATGAGTTAATTTTGCAGTCTGTACGGTTGCCACTCATCAGTGGTTTCTACAAATTGCTTACTGTCATAGTGAGAAATGCCAAGAAAATGAAATATTTTGCGGTAAGTCTTTTTTGGAGGACATTGGATGTTTGTTTTTTTAGGTTGCTTGTGTGTATATAAAGCATTATAAAATATGGGATTATAGCATGTTGCAGTTTTAAAATCTACTAATTCTATTGTATGAATTTTTAAAAATTGACATGTGAATGGCAATTGGATGACCTCTTCAAAAGATTAACTAATAGTGTGTCCTGTCCTGATTTTCCAAGCCCCTAGAGCTGATTGTGTTAGATTAGTGGGGTTCTCAAAGTATGGTTCCTGGACCAGAAGCATCAGCATCCTTTGGGAATGTGTTAAAATGCAAATTCTCAGGCCCTCTCAGACTCACCTAGTCAGAAATTTTGGGGCAGGCCCAGCATGCTGTTTTACAACAAGCCCTCCAGGAGACAGTTCCAGTTGGCTATGAGACTGGCTTCTTCCAGGGTGAGCAGTGTAGTAGTTGTCCTGCCTCCGGGCTCACAAGCACATCTTATTGGGAGATGGAGGAGAAAGGAACTGACTCACCCCTTCCCGTAGCTGTCGGCTTCCCACCTCCTGCTCTGTTTCTGACTGGTGTTTGCCTTGGACTGTTGTCCTGAGCCCACCTTCCCTTCCTCTCTGAATGAAACACCAGTAAAGGGACAATGGATTCACCAGTCTGAAGAGAGGTTGGAACTGCTGGGTTGGGGTGCAGAGTTACCTGGTCATTGTTCAGCATACTAATTTAATATTTTACTTCACAGGGCATTAGTCCAAAGAGTCTGAAGCACTCTTCTGAGGATGCAGAAAAGTATTCTTGTTTTGCTTTATTTGTAAAATTTGGTAAAGAGGTAATTTTAAAATGATTTATCATTTATCTTAGTGTTATTGTGGGCTGTTTTAAAATGAATGTATTTTGAAAAAAATCCTGGTGATCATAAATGATCTAATTAAAAATCGGTTTACTAAATCCAGGCTGTGAATAAGGTCTTAGAAAACACTAAAGAAGGAAACCATTGTGCTTCAAGAGTCCTTTGGATTTTCTTAAAATAACTTAATTGAGTGATGGCAACTCAAAATTCAGTAGATTCTTCAGTTTTTTTCATATTGTTAGGTATTAAGTGTTTCAACAAATGTACTTTTCCTGGTTATCACAACTTCATCTGTAGGTGACTTACCATGTCATAAAAGCTACATGCTCATTTTTCCTATTTGAGAATAGGGTAAATATATATGTATTTTTATTTATTTATTTTTATTGTACTTTAGATGAAGGTTTACAGAACAAATTAGCTTCTCATTAAACCGTTAGTACACATATTGTTTTATGACATTGTTTAATAACCCCACGACATGTCAGCATTCTCCCTTCTTGACCTTAGGTTCCCTATTACCAGCTTTCCTGTCCCCTCCTGGCTCTTAGTTCTTGCCCCTGCACTGGTGTGCCGCTTTAGTCTCATTTTGTTTTACGGACCTGTCTAATCTTTGGTTAAAGGGTGAACCTCAGGAGTGACTTCATTACTGAGCTAAAAGGGTTTCTGGGGGCCATACTCTTGGGGTTTCTCCAGTCCATCAGGCCAGTAAGTCTCATCATTTATTCTGAGTTAGAATTTTGTTCTACATTTTTATCTAGCCCTGTCCAGGACCCTCTATTGTGATCGAGAATAGGGTAAATATTTTTTAATTGATTTTTAAGTTGTATGCTGTCTTCAGGCAGACAACACTGTCTTTTCTCATTTCTTGGTAGGTATCAGTTAAAATGAAGCAATACAAAGATGAGCTTTTGGCCTCATGCTTGACATTCGTCCTGTCCCTGCCACACGACATCATTGAGATTGACATGAGAGCCTACGTTCCTGCATTGCAGGTAGGTGTGTTGTCTTGAGCAGATTCGTTTCTTTATGCAATGCTGTATTTCTTTGGAAACACTGAAATATCATAGTTCTTTAGGTGCTTTGCCATCAGACACACCTGTTTCAGTTTCTGCTTCTGCTGCTTATTGGCTTTGGGATTTGAGATGCTTGACTTCCACTTTCTGAGCTTCCCTTGTAGGTTGATACAAAGTTTAAACTTTCTGTGCTTTGAAAGTATGCAGTACAGTACTGGAGGCACCCTCTTACCTCCAGCAGTGTTTGATGTCCCAGTAGTAGGAGGGATAGTAATTAGAAACCACAATTAACTGTTGTTTTTTTTTCCCTTTAAATCTTAAATTCCTGAGTTTCATTTTACTTTGTTTGTATTAATAGATGGCTTTCAAACTGGGCTTGAGTTATACTCCCTTGGCGGAAGTAGGCCTGAATGCCCTAGAAGAATGGTCAGTTAACATCCACAGATACGTAATTCAGCCATATTACAAAGACATTCTACCCTGCCTTGACGGTTATCTGAAAACTTCAGCCTTATCAGGTAAGGATTGGAAAAATTGTGATGTGTGAATCTTAATTAAAATGGCAATGTGATAACCATAATAGGACTTTTTGTAATAGTATTTTTATAACTTGTGGAATTTGAACCCAAAATTTTCAGAATAATTTGACTAGTATTTTTGTAATTGCCCTAGTTCATTTCAGTATCATTGGCACAATAGGAGGTCTAATTGAGGCATTAAAACTATTTTTCAGTTTTTAAATAATCTATTTCATTTTTGTTGTTGTTAAGAATGTACACAACAGAACATAAACCAGTTCAACAGTTTCTACATGGACAATTCAGTGACATTGATCACATTCTTCGACTTGTGCAACCATTCTCACCCTCGTTTTCTGAGTTGTTCCTCTCCCATTAACATAAATTCACCGCCCCCTAGGTTTTCTGTCTAAACTTTCCAGTTGCTATTGTTAATTTGATCCCATATAGGTAGATTTTACAAGAGCACAATACTCAAGGAAGACCGTTTTAAAAAAAGTTTACTTTTAAGAAGTCTTCAGGGGATGTTTTTGGTTTACGGTTTAAAGATTATCTTAGGGCAATAGTTTTGGGAGTTTAATTCAACCCCTATGGCAAACTATTTTTCATTTTGTTCACTTATATTCTATTAAGATTTATAAAATCTTCAAGGACGGCACTCTATCTTAAATATCATTGAACCTCTTATAGCTTCTAATACACTCCCTTGCAAAAAATTTGCACCACCAGAAAATTTAATACTAATGTTATAATTTGGTCTTTATTGTTTTTTAAAAATATTGCTGATGAAGACTAATGCTAGCCAGTTAAGAAGAATTGAAAAAAAAATTATCATAGAAGAAATAGGCTTGGGAAAAGATTCAGAGAAATAAATCTGGCTGGCAGAAGTATTACTAGTTAAGAAAAGTAGCGTTAGAGTGGAGAGGACAGATTTACTTAAACCAAAGTGAAAAGAGACATTGTTTTCTGATGGAAGAAATTAAAGATTCAGTTAGTAGAGAAAAACTGAAGTATTTGTAAGAATTTAAACTTCACCTCTGTAAATCATTATTCTATTGTATATTCATTTGCTGTGTCTGGTTTATGTGACACTCTCAATACATATGCAGAGTTCATGAAGAAGCGTTCAAAATTTTGGAAGACTTATGTAAACGATGGCAATAACTAGTATATTTTAGAGTCAAGATATACAAAACTAGTTAATGTTTATAGGTTAGTCAGTCTTTTTAAAATTCACTTTATATAAGGAGTGCTGCTATTTGAGTAGTTCACCAAAAGCACATTGAGTTACTGAAAAAAATGAATATATCTGTGTTTCTTTGTGGTACTTTCATTTGTTTTCTTGAATTTAGTTCTATTAATTATTTCATTGAGATTTGTATTTGTTTTAAGTTAATAAGGGAAATTACTGTGATTCTTTTAAAGTAAGGATTTCTATGTTGATAAATATGTGTACACCTACCCCTTACTTACTATCTAGTTATCCGACGTTTTGCATTTACAACAACGGTAAAAAATCTTCTATCTGACTGTTTTGTGCATTAACAATGTACATCTGGCATTAATGAATGCTAAAGTGCAAGGTGAGAGTAACACTGGCTGTGCTGCTTAAGGTTGTGTGTCTTCTTGCCTGGGCCATGATTCTCAGTGCTTTGGCAGTTATGTAATGTAATGTAATTTTGACAGTTACATAATGATATAGTCTGCCTCCATTTTGTGATCTGATGTGGTCATCCTCCATTTTTGCTTAATGCCAGTTTTCACATAATGATCTGGTCTCTGGAACGTAATCATATTGATAAGTGAGGAGTGGGAGTACTCACTGTAAATAATTAGAAAATAGGAAAAAGCAGAGTAAGCAAAATGAAATAACAGAAGAAAATCCATAATCTTATCATTCAAAGATAACCATTCTTTTTAATGACTTAATATTGATATGATATCAAACTTCCAGAACAGTTACATTAATAGTAAAAAGAACTATATATGCTTTACGCAGATTCACCAGTTATTAAGATTTTGTACCATTTGCTTTACCATTGTGTGTGCTCTGTCTCTGTGTGATTACATGTATAAGCATATATTACATCTAAATTTTTTCTGAACCATTTGTGAGATCTTTATGCCTAAATACTGCATTAAGAGTGAAGACTTTTTTTATACAACCACAGTATCATTATCAAAATCAGGAAAAGTAACATTGATACGTTCTTTTTCTGTAACATACAGTCCAAGGAGCCTTGGTGGCTCAGTGGTTAAGTGCTTGGCTGCTACCCGAAAGGTCAGTGGTTTGAACCTGCCAGCTGCTCTGTAGTAGAAAGATGTGGCAGTCAGCTTCTGTAAAGATTACAGCCTTGGAAACCATATGGGTAGTTCTACTCTGTCCATTTCTGCTGGAAATGATTCAATGCCAATGGTTTTTTTTTTAACCTGCAGTCCATGTGCATGTTTTTCAGTGGTCCCATTAATTTCTTCTGTAGTTAGTAGTCATAACTCCTTAATTTCCTTTAATCTGGGATAGTTATTCAGCCTTTCTCAGTTCTCATGACCTTGGCATGTTTGAAAATTGCAGGCTGGTTATTCTGTAGAATGGCCTTCATTGGGTTTGTATGATATTTCCTCGTGATTAGAGTCAGGTTGTGCATTTTTGGCAGAAATATACCAGCACTGCTGCTGTGTCCTCTTTGTGGCACCATGTTGGCAGTTGGTGCCATTACTGTGGATAACATGGCCAGGTCTTTCTGTAATTGTAAAGTTACCATTTTTCCTTTGTATGAAGCAGTAATTTGTGGCCCTCTTCCCTTCCTCAAGGGTTTGGTCGTCAGCCTTTAGGTAGTGCAGAGGGAGGACAAGGGTGGGAGGAGAAAAGCAGGGGAGAGAGGAGGGGGGCTGAGGAAGGTGAGGGGCTAGAGCAGGATTGGGGCGCCTACACGTGAAGGCATCCATGTAGGGGGATGGGAGCCCAGGCAGGGTAAGGAGGGCAGCAGGTATCATAGTTTGGCTACTTATGGAGGATGGATCAAATACGTAAATAGGTTTAGAATGGTGGAAGCTAGGTTGCTCACTGTTGGAGAAAGAAGTTACAAATATGGAAAGAGATAATTGGAATGAACCTATGGTGCTGGATGGGAATTGGATGTATCAATGGGAAGCTCATGGTTCTTTTTCTCTTTGTCTCCTTATATATGTACACGCACATACACACACACATACATATACACACATACTGAGATACATATATGGACAAATAAATGTAGAAATAAATGGAGGTGAAAGTGTGTATGTAATACATGCATATATCCCCTAATTCTGTCCACTGAGAGGGCCTAGGAATAGTGACGTCTTAATAGAAGTGAGCAAACCCAGTGCCCAGATCGTGGCTTCTAAATGCCATTTTGCATGAAAAGGAACCAGTACACCTTTGAGAAATGGCTGGCTACAGGCTGGGGCAGGAAAAATATAAGATGAACCTGGAATATTGTGTTTTCTGAAACATCTAGAAAGCAGACAAGTGTTTTAAAGAATGGTAAGGTAGTGTCATGGACAAAACTGGGATAATTTGAATGTAAATAAGTAATTTCAGAAACAGATTATAACCCATGGAATCAAATAGGAAACAATGAGTATGGGCAGATAAGAATAAAATTAGTAATTGCAAGTTTTCTATAGCTGTGTGGCCACTTACACAAAGCTAGCAGCTTAAAATGGCACCTCACGGTTCTGTAGGTAAGGAGTCCAGATGGGCTTGGCAGGATACTCTGCTCAGGGTCTCACAAGGCCAAAATCAAGGTGTCAGCCAGGTGGGGCTCTTACCTGGAGGTTCTGAGGGAGAATCAGCTTCCAGGCTCCTTCAGGTTGTAGGACTGTGGTCCCCGTTTCTTGCTTTTTATTGGTCGGGGGTCACTCTAGGCTCCTAGAGGCTGCTGTCTTGCCCTGCATATGGTCCTTCCATTTCCACAGCCAGCAGTGGCATGCCAAGTCCTTTTTTACTTCCCCTCTACCAGCTGGAGAAAACTCGCTTTTAAGGGGCTTGTATCATTAGGTCAGGTTCACCTGGATAATCTCCCTTTTTGCCATTAACACAACTCCAGGACTAACACCAGTGAGTAAGGTCACGGGGCTATCTTAAAACTCTGCCAACACAGATAGTTTCTGAGTACCTTCCCCCCAAATGCTTATTAATCACTGTCTTAGTCATCTAGTGCTGCCATAACAGAAATACCACAAGTGGATGGTTTTAACAAAGAGAAGTTTATTTCCTGACAGTAAGGTAGGCTAAAAGTCCAAACTCAAGGTGTCAGCTCCAGGGGAAGGCTTTCTCTCTATCGGCCTTCTCATCAGTGTTCCCCCAGACTAGAAGCTTCTCTGTGCAGGAACCCGGGTCCAAAGGACGTGCTCTGCTCCCAGTAGTGCTGTCTTGATGGTATGAGATCCCCCTGTCTCACTGCTCACTTCTGTCTTTTATATGTCAAGAGATTGCCTCAGGACACAATCCAGTCTTGTACATCAGGTCCTGCCTTACTAACACAACTGCCACCCATCCTCCCTCATTAACATCATAGAGGCAGGTTTACAACATACAGGAAAATCACACAGTACCAGGAATTATGGCCTAGCCAAACTGATACACACATTTTTTGGGAGGACATAATTCAAACCATGACAATCACCAAGGTTAAGAATAGTAACTTTACAATGGAGAAATCTGGCAGATGCCACCTTCACCTCCCAAACAAAGGTGACCTGGTCAGTCGTGGGGCAGACGGGGCTCCCAGAAGCCCACAGTCTCCACTGGCAGCCTCCCGAGGTGTGACCCGTCTCTGCTTTAGTGCAGTATACACGGAGCGTGGAGTCTTGGCACATTATATAGAAAATAGTGTAGCTTTTCACATTATAGGTGAAGAAATTAACTCGCAAACCAAAGAAGCAAATCCTTCTAGATTGAGTGGCCTTTCCTGAAAGTTTTTACTGATTTCATAACTTCTTTTCAGACTCAGGTG